TGAGTTCTTTCAGAACTCTCGGATGTATGCCATCTGGGCTTGGTGATTTATCAGTTTTTAAGTTGTCTATCAGTTGTAAGACCTCCTCTCTCATCACCTCAATCTGACTCAGGTCTTTCAACACCCCTGCTGAAATCAGTGGTTCTGGAGTGGGCAAGCACTTCTCATCTTCCACAGTGAAGACAGAGGCAAAAAATGCTTTCAGCTTCTCAGCCATTTCCCTATCATCCTTCACTACTCCTTTTACCCCTTGGTCATCCAAGGGCCCCACTGCCTCTCTGGCTGGTTTCCTGCTTCTAATGTATTTCAAGAAAGTTTTATTGTTGGTCTTTGGTTTTTTTTTTGCAATATTCTCCTCATATTCCCTTTTTGCCTGCATGATCACAGACTTGCATTTTATTTGCCACAACCTGTGTTCCCTTTTATCAACCTCACTGAGACTAGCTTTCCACCACTTAAAGGAATCCTTCTTACCTTTTACAGCTTCCATTACTTTGTTTGTTCACCATGCAGGCTTTTTTCTATACCTATTTGTGCCTTTCCTAACCTGCGTTATATATTTTTTCTGAGCTTCTAGGTGTGTAGTTTTAAATCATCTCCAAGCTTCCCCAATGGTTTTGACCCTTTCTACTTTTCCTTTCAGTTTCTTTCTCACATGTCCCCTCATATAAGAGAAGTTACACCTTTTAAAGTTAAAAGTGGTTGTGTCAGTCTTTTTGTCCAATTCCGTATTTATACAAATGTTGAACTCAATAACATTATGGTTGCTGTTCCCAAGTGGTGCAATCACTCTTACATGTCTCACCAGGACTTGGGCGTTACTTAGGACCAAATCCAGGATCGCCTCTCCCCTGGTAGGTTCCGTGACCATCTGCTCCGGGCACAGTCATTGAGAGTGCCTAGAAACTCAATCTCTTTTTCCCGACTAGAGCACATATTGACCCAATCAATGTGTGGGTAGTTAAAATCACCTATTACGACACAGGTTTTTTGTCTAGCCTCTATCTTTAATTCCTTCATCATTTTACAATCTTCCTCTATCTTTTGATCTGGTGGGCGATAACAAACTCCCAGTGTTAAGTTTCCTTTTGGGCCCACTATTTCAACCCATAGCATTTCCAGAAGCAAATCCAATTCTCTTACCCTCTCAATCTCAATCCCCCACTTTTTGGGGCTTTTGGCTGCCACTGGCTAGCTGGCTGATGGGGGAAACCCCACCACCCAAACAGCAACATCACTGACGTGATGACGTCATGCAGACGTGACATCATCAAATTAGGGACATTTGTATGGTGACGCTTTGGTTTGCGGGCAAAACTCTATGGTTTGAGGGTAATTTGACCATAGACTTTTGCCTTCAAACCAGTGTCACTATGTGGCATCTCTGACATGACTTCCACATGACATCATCATGTCAGTGATGTTGCTGTTTGGGGGTGGAGCTCCACCCCACTCCCAGAAAGCTCCCTCCCACCCGCCCACTGGCACATGGTGACTACCAGGCAACCCTACCATGCCCTCTTGGACAGTAGCTTACATGGTCCACTTAGGAATACTCTTAGCCTCCGATATCATGAAGTGAAATATCTTGACACACAATCTTCAGTATAGTTCTGAATAAATTGCTGATTCATGTACTCCTCCTTCCTTCAAGTAAATTAATGGAAATGATATACAAACGAAGCAGTTTGGTAAGAAGAGCCTCCCTTTCTGGCCCCTTCATTTCTCTACACTGCTAAACAGGCTTCTGAAATCCTTGTGTTCAATAATGAATGGCTTCATTAGTATTTTAATGCTTTTGTTCTATCAATATGCAATAGAATAATGATGTGATTTGGGAAAAAAAGAAACATAAAAATAAGAAAGTATAGTAATACTTCAATGTCACTGCCAGCCTGCCCATTACAAAAAAAAATCCTCATCCCACTTCCAACAACATAAACTGTGTTTGTGTGTTCTACCCATAATTCATCATTATCAGAATTCGATGAGCTCATAAGTTCTGAGAAGCTTATTGCCTAATATGGTAAAAGGGGGAGAGCGAGGGACTTTAAATCCATGGCCTCCTTCTGGAATTACAGAATTGTTCTCTGCATTCTGGAAGCATTATAGAACCTTCTTCTTTTCCCTCAGACCTTTAGGATTTCTTTCTCTAAAGCAGCAACTGGGTGATGGATTTTTCTAGATATTAAGTAGTGCAATATTTGCTCAGAAATAAACTGTGCCTACTGGGGACTTACTCCCAAGTAAGTATGCACAGGATTGCAGCATAATTATTATAATTCTGCTTAATTGGAAATCTGTTTTTCTATGTTAGGCTACTTTTAACACATGCTGGAAGAGTCCCATGATAAAAAGAAGACAGGATGTATAAGTAAATAAGAATATGGCTGACGTACATATAGCTAGGGTTGCCAAGCTCCAGATGGGACCTGGAAATCTTCCTGGAATTACAGCTCATTTCCAGACGACAGAGATCACTTCCATTGGAGATACCGACTGCTTTTGAGGGTAGACTGTATGGCATTATACCATAATGCAGTCCCTCCTCTGCCCAGGCTCTGCCCCCAGATCTCCAGGAATTACCCAACCTGCTGTTGGCAACCTTACCTTAGGAGGAAAAAGAAATAATTGGAGAATACGTTCAGAGATGGGGCAGCATTGCTAAAGTAAAGTGAAAGCATAAGTAATCTTTGTATTAAGGTGAAGAGCAACAGGATTAGAGACCAGTGCTATTCAGGCCAGGGAACAGTCTGGGGGCCTATGCTGCTGAATGGTAAAAGCTCCATAGATCTCCATCTGATGCCTCACTGGATGGGAGGCTGCCTAGAAGCTCCATGTGGTAAGCAAAGTGGGATACAGGTGTGTATGAATATCATGTACACATTGTATTTAAATTTGGTTACGTAAGACCTGGTCAGATCTAAGGAGGAGCCTGTCTTCTATTTGCATTTTCTTTGAGTGTTTGCATATACGTTTTAGTGAAATAGAGTAGACAAATCCAGTTTAGCCATATTCCAGGAGTGGCTGCAGCCCAACACACAAAGAAAGGCAGAGCTCTCACAGATGTTAAAAGTGCTTGAGAACATGAGGAAGATACTCCAGCATTATGGTTGCTGGAGTCTTGTTATCCGAATTTAGAATTTGTTAGCCCTTGTGCTGTTAAAACTTGTTAGCCTATGTGCTTTACGGATGTTGGATAAGATTGATATCACAGCTAAACACAATAAGACAACCAGAGAACTGAATTTGGACGAAAGTGGGGATTTGAACCTGGCCGTCTGATATCTGGTCCAGAGTTTTAACCACTATACCATGCTGAGCTCTAACTTAAATAATTATATGTTGATGTGTGATAAGCCAGGGAAATGGAAGAAAAACATACCCCTAAATCTAAATTATAACTGCTGTTCTTACAGTCCTGTATAATCACTGTTTAGATCCTCGCTTCGGCAGCACATATACTAAAATTGGATCCTGGCTCAGATCCAGCTGACTGTTTCTGCAAGCAGAAGGATTTCTGCTTTCTGTCCTCCCCCTCCCACTTCAGCAGGTGGACAGGAGGAGTGTGTGAAGCACGTTTCTATATGCAGTCTCAAATGCACAGTAGGGATCAAACCCTGAATCTGTAACCAGGAACCTTAGCAGACTCCGCTGCCTCCTTTAGATGGGGATAGGTAGACATGTGTAAGTACATACAGTTAATATAATGCAAGCTGAATCAAATGATCATCGCCTCTTCTCACATGGGACTATGTTGGAAGGGCTGTGACGCCAAAAGTGACCAAAGTGACATATGAATGGTGGTTCTAGGATTAAATATTTATTTATTTATTTAATTAAT